TTATATCACAGTAAAGCTAGGGAAGAATAACTCCTGCTCCTACTCATAAGATTATTGAATTAATTAATTAAATGCGTGTAGAATGTCTACATGCATCCAGTTAATTAAATGCATTAATTAAATATATTTCTGCTTTATTCAACAATTACATAAACTTTTTTCATCCAGAAGTAATAATCATTTGTCAAACATCTATTAAGTTTGGAGTACCTATATCATGGGCCAGGACTTGTGCAAAGCACAAAGAATGCAAAGGTGATTAAGACATGGTAGTGTCCCTGTCCAGTATGGAAAACAGACATATAAACAATTTTTCTGCAGTGTGCTGGGGGTTATAACAGAGATACTAAAGTCTGAAGACTAGGAGAGGCCTCAAAATGTTATAGTCTATGAGGGTGTATATTAAAGGAAGTTGTGTGGATGTTTTAAGGTAGCTTATATTTTCCTATTAATCCAAGGAGAATAAAAAATTAGGCTTCTCATTTAGCAACAGTTACTGTCCAATGGTGTTTCTGCTAAGATGAATACCTGGAATGTGGCACTTATCACACCTGTCTGAGTGTAATTAAGTTAACTAGTGGTCAAGAGATAAGCATGGTAAGAAATTTTAGAATTTGAATCATGGTATAGCCAGAGCATTTCAGATGACTAATTCTTTGTTTTCAAAGTTGGTTCACCATGATGTAACACTACTTTCTTTTCTTAACAGTAAGTGCTATATTGCAGCTTTTTGCCAGTCTTCATTGTTAAAGCTTTATTAGCCTTCGTTTGTAGAGCACATAGCCTGAGTCTTAAAGCACAGAGATAACTCTTGCCTTTCAGCCTGTTTTAGTGGGTTTTTAAAAACCCAGCTACCCTGAAAACTTTCTAGCTAACATGTAATGCCCGCTTACTACGTGCCAGGCCCTGTCCTACGTGCTTTCCTTATCTCACTGAACGTCACAAGTTTATAACGTAGGGACTGATTTCCCCTTTTCAGACTTGAGGCACTTGAGACAAGGTGAGGTTTAATAACAGGCCAGGTTCACATGAAGAAGTGTCAGAGCTAGCATCAGAACTAAGGCAGTGACTTAGAGATTACAACTCTCACTCTTCTGCCTCCCCTAGTAGATTGGCAGTGATTGCAGAAGATTCCTTGCTTGGAAAGATTCAGTGTGGTGGTCTTAGCCTGATTGAAATAGGTCAGCACCTTTGTAAGTTTTGAATTATGAGTTCCCATGTTCTAGAATGCAGTTAAGAACACTTAAACATTACCACATACTTTTTTAGGTCCTAGAATATATATGTTCTGCCTCAGTTCCAGTCTTGTCTTTGCCATTGACTAACTGTATAAGCTTGGACAAGTTTTTTAACCCAGCTTTTAGATGTTTCTACTGCAAAAGGAAGGGATTAGATAAGACAGTTCTTTATATTACCTATTTGCTCAACTTATTATCTGCATTTGTACTCTACCAAAATTAAAGGTTGGTACCAACTTTTTTGTCCAGTCACATAGAACCTATGTTTCCCAGAAGAAAAAGAAAGTAAAGTGTGGAAAGTATAGATGTTCTCTTTTGCTGGTCTCCTTGTTATTTTAAAAACTCAAAAAGTTTATACCAGGCTACTTAGCTTTTACAATCCTAAAGTGTATATATATTGTGTGCTCAATTTTAAGGGCTGGGACTATTCCCAGAAGCTCTGTGCTGGTCACAAACAAAATGGAACGCTCAAGGACTCAGCACTAAAAATAACTTATAAAAATACTCCCTCCGTGCACTCATTGGAACAGGTAATTACTGTGGCAACAAACTAATTTGAAGTGTTAGCGGTTAATTAAAACAATGCAGAGGTGTATAGTTGTCTTTTGGTGTAACCAGCGCCTCCATTCAAACTTCATTAATCACTTTACAGTGTTGAGAAAGATCAAGACAATTGAGGTCAAGGCAATTGAGATGCAGTATCCACTGAAAATAAACAAATTCCTTTTCTCTGGGTAGAATGGCATTTGCAAAGTTAAGGGACACACTGGGCTCATACCTGGCACTGCTTTTGTCATCCACTTCTCATTGATGATTAAGTGTTAAATTGGTACTCTCATTGCACTGTAAACCAAACCACACAGCATCTTTATTGCTCGAAATCGAACCCAAACTTCCATGGATGAATTAACATGCATCATAATTAAATCATCAAGCCTCTGCTTTTAATTCACGTGGAAATAGGAGACGCTTCTTTTGGAAAAGAGATCGGCTTTCTTGACAAGCTAATTAAGTTGCCAAACTGTCCAGTATGGTATATATACTAGATTATTTGCTAATCATTTCTGTATCGCTCCTGTTGGTCTAAAACATCCAGGTGTACTCATTGTCCAATGTAACATCACTGTTCTTTTTACAACTTTTGAATCCTTGTGTATGCATTCAACTATTTATCTTTACATTTCAGCCTTCAGTTAGTGATTCTAATATCTAGTATTTTATTTTATTTTATTATTATTATTTTTTTGTGGTACGCGGGCCTCTTTGTTGTGGCCTCTCCCGTTGCAGAACACAGGCTCCAACGTGCAGGCTCAGCGGCCATGTCTCACAGGTCCAGCCGCTCCCCAGCATGTGGGATCCTCCCGGACCGGGGCACGAACCCGTGTCCCCTGCATCGGCAGGTGGACTCTCAACCACTGCGCCACCAGGGGAGCCCTAATATCTAGTATTTTATAATGTTGAAATTGGAAGAGACCATGATAATTCAAGAGGAAAAATAATATGTCATTATTAAATGTTACATATTACCTGGAATAAAGTTACTAAATTCCTTCAAGTCATAACTTCAAATTGGCTTAGTCCAACAAACTTCTCTGTCATGCACTGAGAAGAAATACTATGTAAGTTTTTATATATTAATTTATTACATGAGTTCAGATATATCATGAATCAAATCATGACATGTAGTTTCACATTTTAAAAGTTTGATGTTATCATAGGTAGTAAAGTAACTGGTAATTTGTTGTAAAACCAGTATAATATAAGGGTTCCACTTTAAAAATGTGTATCACTTTATACAAAGTACAAAATTTTTTTAATAATTTAAGTTTTATAATTTAATAGTATTTATATATACTAGGGAGGTTGGTGTTTAGAGAAAGTCTTTAGACACTTATACAGATTAAAGTACTCTTTGGTAAAGTGAACAATTGCTGATTTTTATAAGCTTACCTTTCCTTTAAATGAGATATACGTGAATTTCTCTACAATTAATTGATAAAATAAAGGCTAAGTTTACCTTCCATAATAGGCTTAACCTTTGTCCACTCAAGTAGGAGAAGCAGAATGAATTTTTTATAACAGTCCTATGTATGGATATATACATTAACGTTGATATATATGTTTTTTCTTAGTCATGCCTGATTTTATAACATTTTATATGTGAAAAGTTACAAATACTTGTAGGTTCTTAATAACTGAACGATTTCTTTAAGTCAGTCACTTTAAAAACACTTGTCAGTGATTGCACAACTCTGTAAATTTTCTAAAAATCTTGAATTGTACACTTAAAACAAGTGAATTTTACCATATATAATTATACCTCAATAAAGGTGTTAAAAATGAATATTTGTGCCAAAACAACAGAAAATGATGTTTTCATTTTGATAATAGTGAAATATATGTTTTGTTTTTATTTTATGAAATAAGCAATTTTTGTAACTGTGTGGTGATGGGTGTTAACTAGACTTACTGTGGTGATCATTTCACAGTATATTCAAATATTGAATCATTATGTTGTACACCTGAAACTAATATAATATTACATGTCAATTATATCTCAATTAAAAAATAAAAGGAATGAACAATGTTTACTACTAGGTCATTACCCAGTAAAAATTGGGAGCCTGGTAAATTTATTTAGCAACTTGGCATGTAAGGATGGGGAATTCCTGAGAAGCTAAATTCCATCCCCTCGCATCTTCCTTACCCCACTTACATCTTAACACTAACTGGGTGAGGGGAAGATCAATTGGATCTTGGCTAATAATGTAAAATCTTCTCTGGAGCAAGATTTTAGTTCTTCCAAACTAATTTGTTTCTTTATACCTATATGGACTTGTAATAACAGTGCTTGTTTATGTTATTTGGTTTGTTTTGAAATTTTTATATAAAGCAAATTGTTTTTGGATAGTTGGTCAGAATGGCATTCCTTGCAGTGCATGCATACACATTTCATTTCAATACAAAAGGTCTTGATGAGATGTAATGATATTTTATCTCTGCAAACATTCTCTTACTCTTTTTCATAAATGAATGTATTCATATTGTTTGATTTAAATTGTAATTATTTCACCGTATCTGATCATTTGAGCTTGCCTCTGTTCTGTAGCTTTTTAAAAAAATACTGAGAGATGCCAGCTTTAGGAAAAGATGAACCTCATACTTGAGCCTTGTAACTGTATGACCTTGTACATGAATTTATATCTTAAGCCATGTGTTTTCAGATTATTTTGATGAAATGTAGGGATGTAGTTTATCTGTATATATAACTGAGATAAACGGGAAACCTCCCATTTTATGTGGCTCTGTACCATGCTTAGCAGAGAGCTGTAGAAGACACACACACACACACACACACACACACACACACACACACACACACACA